AATTATGGTGCGGCATGTAGTTTTTAGTTAATTAATGATTTTTAAATATTTCAGATATATAAAGTTGTTTCAAAACTTTTGCGTGTCGGATTTTGATCACCATTTGGGAACAGCTGAAGTGACAATATTGTCACTTCACACATATATAGATCCATGGTTGGAAATATTTTGCACATACAAATATTTTTTGTCACGTGACTATATTATTGTTAAAATGGACCATTTGCGAGACTATGGACAAAATGGCAAAAATTTGATAGTTTTGAGATTACTCCTATAATAAAAGGTCAAACATATTGACCATATCATAACAAAAACTCCCGCAGTTGATGAGTATTTTGATATATCATTTGAATTTCTAGACCGAATACATTTCGAGATATTCAAGTTTACTTTTCCATAGTCGATTAATCTCCACCCTGTATGTTTCGCTTTGTATTGAAGAATGTAATAGTTTTTAATACAATCTATTTCATTGCATTCATTTAAACAACGTGATTCAGCCGACAAAATACAACTATCTGAACCATTAATATACAAATTGCTCCGCTCATTAAAGTCATCATCATCTTTGGTAATGTAGTGTGTTTATGGAAACACATTTATTTTCTTGGTCAATTCGAATCATGCATTTAATTACGCACTTATCAAGTGTTTTACCTTTTAAGCATTTATCGCCATTTAGTAGATAATTTAATTTAACAGTATATAACTGGTAAGAAATGTCCAAAGAGGTATGATTATTAGGATTGCCCACCCAATGACCCTTGCGGTCAATGTCTCGTAGCTTTTCCTGGCGTGAATGCACATGAACATTTATCTCCTGGATTAATGAGTTATTTTTTATTCTAAACGAAAGTGCTAGGTCGCCTTTATTTGTCCGGAATTTGACCTGGAAACGTTCATTTGAGGCATTGCCCACCCATTGAGACAATACTGTAAAACAATAATAATCACTCTGTGAAGTGAGCGACCGGCGATTCTGAGCCACGTCAGTGCAATTTTCTGTTTTATTTCTGTACTCGATTGAACAATAAAATAAACCATCAAAGTCTATGAGCTCGTTCATTTGGTCATTCATTGTGTGGTTGGCGAATACCTCTCGCATAAAATTACCCTTTTTGTCAAAGTAATTAGACTTTACCTCCGGTCGTATCATGGATTGGGTTTGCGTGCATAGTGTAAGTGACGGTACGCTCAACACATCGCTAACCTTGACATTCGTTGTTTCTTCGTATGAGAAGTATCTCAAACTAATTTCATAGGTTTGGTATAGAAATCCACACAAACATAATATTTTCAATAATACATTAATTACTGTTGTTGTGGATGACATTTTGAATTAGATTTTAAAATTAAACTAAAACTTTTATGCTTGCTAAAATATTACTTCCTGATCTACTGACATTCAAACTAAAACATAGATTGAATTTAATTATTTTATTCTAATGAAACTCCGCATTTAATATTATTGCAATAAAATAAATATCATTATATTATATTTACATTTAATTATTTTATTGTTACACCCAGATTGATTTTTAGTCTAGCATTGTATAAGCAAGATTGTAGATTCATAGTACGTGTAAATGCAGTGATATAGGTTATAAAGATATGTTCTTGATTATGCTGGCATTTAAAAAAAACATACATTGAATTTAATTATTTTATTTTAATGAAACTCTGCTTATAATATTTTATGCAATAACATAAATTTTATTATGTTATATTTACATTTAATTATATTATTGTTACACCCATATTGATTTTTAATCTAGTATTAAGTTAGAAAAGTTATTGCATGTGTGTTTGTATTGATATCGACTATGAAAATATAACATTGCTTCCAGTATACTAGATTATAAATCAATATGGGTGTAACAATAACATGAATATTATAATTATAATTAGTATATTCTAATGAAATCTCACTTGCAAATCTTAGTTGGTGAAGCACACCATGTCATCGCTCGTTTGTCAACAAAAAATGTTATTATTATTTTTACACACAATTCAGACATAAATAATTTAGTTTATAATGTTGTTAGTACCCCCTCGCGACGGTTACACAGATTTCAATATAGTTGTCAATACTATTAAAGTTAAACACCGGAAAGTCTCGTATGTCTGGTCGGCATTGCGCTGATAGGGGTTACCGAAGACATTATCTGTAATGATCGGCAACTAAAAGTCGACAAAATGAATGAATGGTTATGTGCGGTAAGTGCGGGTCCATTGAATTGTTCATCACTTCAAATACGGTAATCGTTTTTGTATGAATAAAATAATCGATTTACACAACATATAATTATACAACAATTTCGTGATTACAACGGCCGGACAACGCATCAGGCAAGTAATTTAATTAAATGAAATGCTTATAAATATGACAGCAAAATATGATATAGTGATCATTAATTATTATAATAATTAGTTTGTAAAAGTATTTAATCAACTTGTAATAAATGTTCATAATTACAGAAATATTGTAATGAAATAAATTAAAAATTATTATTAAATCCATCACGGTGTTTAATCTTAACCATCATGTGTTTAAAACTGGCTATTTGTACCAATGGATTATAATAGTCCGTTTCCTATTGCATTAATAAATTAATCGTAATTATATGAGCATGAATAACTACAAAACAACAATGAAAAACTAACCTTGGTCTCATTGCAAGACATAAACGCATACGTATACAACATTATAACTAACGTATACTTGAGCTCTAAAACAGCGAATCGCAAAGAGTAGGTTTGATATCATCTAGATTTTTCGGTGGGAACCGTTCCGGCTTAAACTCATCGGGGTCGGCAAAATGATCAGGGTCTAAATGAATCGCTCAAATGGGAATTACAATAGACGTGCCTTTTTGCAGATAAATACCCTCTAAATACGTCTCTTTTGTAAGCATTCTGTCGACTCTGTTATAAACATAAACATTACGAATAATTTAATTGTTTACTAACGGAATAGTATAGACATTAAGTTAAAACATGTGACAACACTACATACCGGGTGGCCTAACAGTTAACTCGCATCACTTTTTTGATAAATGCGTCCAAAAATGGCATTCTTTGCAAATTTTTGTAATCCAAAGACAACTCATTAATATCTTTAGTATACAATGTGTTATGAATCTCGTGAACCAGTTTTGTTTGATACCAGGGTTTGAGCGCAAGTATGCGAGTAATGAGACACAACTGTGAGGCTGTGGTCTCGTGGCCGGCGGCAAACATGTTAATTGTCTGACCTGTTAAACTGTTAAAAACAATTATGGTAAATCAGTAAATATTTACCAAGTTTACAATTAATTTAATACAACTTACTGCCGAAAGCCTTATTAGCGTATACAGGAATGGTCGGATATGTGTCGGCCCGTACTCTCAGCATTTACCGAGTGCTGTGAAAAGTACGTCGTTGGCCACCCGTTTGCTGATTAGGTAATACACAGTATTGCTGATTACTTGCATTTTTTGCCGATCAAAGAACGGTATGTCAACAAATCCGCGCAAAAATGTCATATAAAACGCCAACCAATCGCGCACACCTTGATCATTTTGAAATATTGTGATCACCGAGGTGAACAAGGGGTGATCTACGGAGTGATAAAGGGCGTTCGCGTTGGCACCGGCCACAGCTCTAGTAATCACGTCAAACGTGAACGAGTCGTAAACTGTGCAAAAGTCGACAACTTGACTGTCGCGGGCTTTCGGGTCCAATAGAGTGGCCAACCGGTCAAACGTGTCCGACATTATCGGTAGCATAGCTTTGATGCGTCCGGTCGTGAATGACGTCGCGTGAAGCGCGCAAATGCATTTCCATTGGCGATAACGAGATAAAAATAAGCCTTTGCTCATTGGCTCCGAGTCCAAAGTCAGTTCCTAGATGAATGAATTTTTAAACATGTAAATAATTTATGAATTTAAATATTGTATGATAGTAAAGTACCTTATTATTATTATTTATAAAGTTTGATAGTATGTTTGCAAATAATTTATTTATTAAAATAAATACTATAAAAACTTATCCTATGATTTGGGAAATTGTGAACATTTGTGATCAATAATTTTTATATGAGATCGGGGTCAGTTATCAATAGACATGACCCAAAACCTTCGTAAAAACTAATTATATATTAATAGTAAATAATTAATTAATAAAACAAAATGATTTAATTTTTTGGTTATACTTATTAATCAAATACTCGACAACTTTCTCCTGTTTTCTGTGGCACTCGTTGTCTGATATATGAAAGGGATAAATATTTATATAAATGTATATTTTATAATGTTACACTAATAATTTAATTATCTTAACCAATTTACTTTAGTGGAGTACTATTAATGCTTTCAACTTTGTATAAATAATTAATTTTGTTAATGTTTTAAATCATTTTATGTCTTACCGTATTACGCCGCATATAGGTGCATGCACTTATATCTGAGTTTTCACACAAGGGGTGCACCTATATCCGGATATAGGTGCGGTAGTTTTTAGACAATTTTTACATTTTAGTTGAAATATACATATACATTAAAATGAAAATTATAGGATTTGTAATTAGACTTGTAACACTAAAGCGCGTCTTAATGTTTGAAATATATTTGTATTTTCTTAAAAATTAGTGAGTTTTATAAATATTGAGTACATTCGCGTAAAATTTCTCAAAGAATGGACATGTCTTCAAGTGATACATCAATTCTAATAATCAAATTGATCAGATATATGAAATATTTATATATTTGCTTTAATTATTAATTAATGTATAATCTACTCATTAACTTATTAACTTTTTATAAATAATTTTGACAAATAAAATTTGGTGCACCTATACGTGATTTTTACACAAGGGGTGCACTTATATCCGGATATAGGTGCGGTAGTTTTGGTGACATGCAAAATCTGTGAAATTCACTTATAAGTGCATGCACTTATATGCGGCGTAATACGGTACAACTTTTAATTAATCTAAACGATTGTTAACATAAAAATTATTTAATGAAAAACAATAAACAAATTATAAACAACACATATTATCGTATTATCCATATAAATAATATTGGATTAATTGTAATACGGTTTTAATCTAGTTAAGCATTTAAGATAGTCTATAAACAATATGTTAGATACGTCTTGACTAATTTCTAAGTTGAAGTTTGTAAACAATGATAATAAATATAAATATCAAAAGACATTAATTATAATAAATTAAGAAATTCTTGCAAAAACTGGAAGTTAAGGAAAGAGAAGAAATAAATGAATGCTTAAGTAATTTATATTAACTTAATATGAATTTGGAGCCAGAATTTGAAATATTTCTTTACTTCAAATGGAAAATAATTTTATAAAATAAAAAAGTATCTAATATTATATAATATTATCAGTTTTGAAATGAATGAATGATTAACTGTTGGACACATTATATATCAAATGTATTTCCAAATGAATAATTGCTCAGAAAATAGTCTCTCAGACTATCACTGAATTAGCTTTAAATTCCTTTTAATTTTAAATAAATCAGAATTACTTTAAATATTCACTAAAATTATATACAATTCGTAAGAAGACATAAATAACATCAAAAGTTTCTTACCATTCATTTTAGTTAAATAGACAATGCATTTAAACATCAAACAATACTTTCATATATTATTTGACAATATAGTCGATTAGTTAAACCACAAGCTGTTTATGAAAGTTAAGATTAATTATGATCACAAAAACCAAATGTCTATGACTTTTAAACAGTCAATGTTTAGGCCTATTGTAGTGAACGCATCGCCGCTCAAAACCCATTGTCTTTCTTAGACTATAAGTTATGGGAGTTTTAAAGCGATTAATAGAAATGTCAATTTTGATGTCACTATATGTTGGACTTAATACATAGTTGACTGAATTTACACAAAGACTTCATACCCTATAAAAAATCAAATACTTATATACTGTATTACATTGTATTTAATTTTCATCTATTAAATTAATATATATTTTACATTACTTTTGTTTAATTGTATCATTTATATTGACATCAAATGAATTTAATTATATACACGATGTTATGAAATGCTGTCAATTCAATGGCAATATTATGAAAGGTGTTGAACATAATTACTAGTATAATAAAGATCATAATAAAGTTAATAATTGAGAAAGTATTGTCCATATTATAAGTTCAGTGAACAATAGTAGGCGGTATAAGATGTTACATGGTTAAATGTTTTCATTGCATATTCCTTTTAAATATGTAAATTTATTTGCAATAAATATCAATAGAGTATTAAATCATTATATGTTAAATGAATTGTAATATATGCTTTTATAAGAATATAATAAACACCATAAACAACATTAATCTGATGTCTCCACGCATTTAAATATCAAAACATAAATCTTTTTAATGTTAAATAATTAATTTAATAATTCAAGGTTTTGTGAATTACGTAAAATATATTATATAAAGTATGTATAACAAGGTTTGCAAACAAATCGCACGGTTTATCCATATTTCACAGATTTAACTACAATTTGTAATTTTGCAATTTAAAATTCATCCTCAAATAAAATATCCATAGGATTAATATTGTCCAAAATGTTATGTCAAGTGGAGGATAGTATAGTATAAACTTTAAAGTAATAAACATTTCACTATTTGTATGTGGGATTTTAGTTAAGAATCTAAACTAGAAATAAAATTATAAAATTCGTAATATATGTTACTATACTATATTTTTTGAATTAATAATAATGATTATGAATAAAAAATAATTAATTACACGTTTTTTACAAATGTTAAATCAAATACTCACTGTAGGAGTAAATGTATTCAAAATATTTCGCTCTTATGGCTGAATATAAATTGATTTTATTCTCATTTAAATAAATAAATCAATTAATTTTGGTATTAATTATAATTTCATTTTAATATATTTTCAATAATAACTACTAACTTATGCTGAGTTGCAAAACAATCAAATTCTTCCCACACTATAAGCCTTACGTTTAAGGCATCAATAGTTTGCGAATAAAAACGGCTCACAAACCAAGAAAATAATTGATAACAGAATTTCACTAAAAGTTATTAAATTTAAAAATATTATAATTTTCAAAAGAAACTGTTTTAACAAAATCACGCAAAAATAAGACAACAATTTATGAACGCTTTCATTAAAATTACTACAAAATATAAATGCATTCAAAAACAATGATATTCATTACTAGAGCGTTGTGTAAGCCGTAAGCGTTGGCCGCATCTGATGGATGTGTTTGAAGCACAAGAGTTGAGGACAATGTGAGCACTTTAATAGCGGTCACACCCATTGATGGCCATTGTTTTGGCATTAAGTGTTGCGGTGGTAGTCGTCAATGAATTCATATCTTACGGCACACTAACTATAACTCTATGTAAAAATATATTAAGCTATTTAACGGATCATTGACCCAACAAAACCATTTTTTTGAGAGCACATCTCATCTCCAAACACATCTCACACACCAAACAACACAAACTTAACCATTGAAATGAATTATATTATTAAATGCAATATCACTATAAGTATCTACACTATAGTCCAAACACCTAATTTGGTTTTGCAGTTACTTTTAAATTATGGCTACATTTATTTCTGATGTGAGCCTCTCATGAGACAAATGCCACGATATAAATGTTTTTATTATATAATAGCTATTATATAGGTCTCAACGCCAGAGTATTATATGTGAATATTTGTATCAAACATTTTGAAATATTTTATAGCAACAAATATAACTTAATTAAAAAATTATGCTTAAATGTAATTATAAAACACTTTTATTTCACACTTGAGTTCTAGTGTCATAAAGTATTTGCGTTAAAATATGTAAAAATTAACAATTCAAAACATTGTCAATTAGTAAAGTATTGCAAACACTATACAATATTCAGTATTAATACATTACTTAATATGTTAAAAAAAACTAATAACAATAGTTACTGGTGGTAAGAGTTTTTTTTCAAGTGAACCCGGATATTTTAAAATATGTCCTATTATTAACAATATATGTTTGTATAGAGAAAACGATATTTCATTTAATGTTTAATTATCCCTATTTTTATTGGGATTAAGTGGCTGTAAATGGGATGCGATTCTTATAGAGTAGAGTCGATACGATTGTATAAATCATTGCATTAAATAATTCAAAATACTTTTATCAAGTTTTATAGTTTATTAAGACGACTACAAACCGGGCGTTCACTCATATATACAACAAATTCAAAACACTTAAAAATTGATTTTTCTGTCGATATTATTAGACTTAAGACAACAATTGTAATGCTTTTTAAAATGGTTTGTAATAAAATTTTAGATCCAAATCTGCATTGGAAACCCTATGGAGTGATTTTAACATAAAAGTTTCCATTGGTATTAATAATTGGTATTATTTGTAGTTTAATATTAAATCAATAATAAAGTGAATTTCTAATACGGCTTTTCAAACATTTTTCTAACGGTTTCAATCAGTAATTTATAATAACTTCTCTGTTTTGTTGCGAAGAATGCATTACTTTTGGGATACTTTGGGATAAATCCTCCGAAAAAAGTAATAAAAATAAAATTTACGATATTTTTCGCGTTTATCGTCGGAATAGGGATTTAATTGCTTGTAAATGAGTGCTCTTTATATTTGTTGTGCAATTAAATGTTTAATTAATATTTTCTACATTTTATTACGTTTAAGAATTAAGTTTTTTTGTTGACACAAAGTATTAATTAAGTTTTCATCAACTTTTTATCAATAGTTAATAAAAATACCGTTTTTGCAATGTTTTGTTTTAGAAAAGTTTGCTATAAAAGTATGTCAATCAATGGTTTGCAAGTTA